TTTAATAATTTAATAATTTAATAATTTAATAATTTAATAATTTAATATTTAATGTGACAGTCAGACCACTGTACACACACCGCAAACTGTCCACCACAACGATTAATAACTCGCAACAACCGCAAAGAGTTAATATACCGCGACTTCGCGAGAACACTCGGCGACCGCGTGCGTTAGTCTCTCCCTTATTTTCATACTTTTCGCTCCACGTATCTGATTTTGGTTCCCGTTTTTAATGAGCCCTATGTGCAAGATCTGACGCGATTTACGCGCGTTAGTTTTACGTTTCGCGTACGTGTCCTTGGCGATGACGGTTAACAACTGCGACGGGTATGTGTTTTATAGTAACGCGCACTGCCGCGATGCATAGTAGTCCCAAATTCCAAAAACCTGGCCAAAAGCCAAATTTTCAAATATTTAATAGAGTATTTAAATATGAAATTATATTATCTTAAATGTTTAGTAAACCAATTTATGCAATAATTATTTTATGAATATGTATTGCAACTTTGAAATACGTCCTCAAAATCGGACAGTTTTATGCACGCATTACTATTTTACAATTATAACATCGCGTCTATCACACTATAACGTCTTTCACAATGATAATATTCTATCTATATCATGATAATATACAATAATTTTTAATTCCTTTGAATGACAACTTGACAAGATTTTATTCTAACATATATTGTAATAGAAAATGCTGTGCTTATTAACATTTATAATATATATTCTTTAAACAGTAAAAATTTTAATAACGGATATGAATAAAATTGTCAATATAAAATGTGCGACCAAAGTGACGCATTCTTTCTTATCTCATAACAAAAATTACTAATAACCCAGTCAGAAATATAACCTTGATTCAAGGTTGATTCAACGTCGATATGGTTGACAGCTGGTTGAGTTGATAAGAAAGTCGATATTCTTACAATATCAATCACTCCATGTCAGGAAGAGTAGTGTTGATTCAAGGTTGATTCAACGTCGAAACGATTAATATCACTATTTTGATGTGCGCACTTACAAAATTCGATCAATTTGGCTTCAGATTTTAATCTTAAAAAATATTACGACATTGTTTGTATAAATATTGTACGAAACAATTTATGGACATTTAGGAAATCGCGTAATTGATTAATCGCAATAGATCAGTCATGGTGCAATTTTACGCAGCGAATAAAAGCTGGCGTTTTACCCCTTCTCTATCAATTTTCGCCAAAATGGCGAATCCAGCGAATAAATGCTCAAAGTTCGACACAGTCCAACTTTTAGCGAATTAAAGCCACGGTCTTGTATACAACGTCTTGAAGCAACGGTGAAATTTAAATTATTTTTATTAAAAGTGTATAAGAAGAAGACGAAGTTATGGCTGAAGGGTTTAATGAATTGATAGCACCCGAAAATACGACAAGATTCCTATAACTCTGGCGCCTTAATTTGACGATGGTTTCTGGTAGTACTTTTAATCCTGAACAAAAAATTATATACGTCTTATAGGGCTAACTGCTCTGATGGTTTTCAAGATATACAGTGTTAAAATTAAAAATAAATAACATGAATTTTTAAATAATACTTCAATTGTGTGTGTATAAACAGTACAC